CCCTAGGGGCCTTCTGTGGCGATTTCCGTGGTCCTCTCCTCTGGCTGTTCTGCATCCGGGGAGACTGAGGCACGACTCCAGCCCCCACTCGGCCCAGCTCCTGCTCAAGGACGGGGCCCAAGTCCGAAATGACCCGGGGCCTCGCGGAGGCCAGCCCGAGCGCATCCGGGTAATTGTCTCTTCCAGGAGCGTTGCTGAGGCTGGCGGCTCGGAAAATCCCGGATTTCTTTCCCCTCCAGAGGCTGCGCGGGGCCGGCTGGAAGCGGGCGGCTTTATTTACTGATCCCCCGCGAGCGCGGAGGCTGGGCTGCTGGGGCGCCGGCGCCTCTGTCCAGGGTGCTGAACGCGCACAGGGGCTGGCGGCTCTGCATTTGCCTGGATAATAACAATGACTAAAAATCATTGCAGGCGACTGTTATTGAACACTTACAGTGAGCCCAGCACTGAGCCAAGCGCTCCCAAGCTCTATATAATGCAATACTCACAGCAACCTTAGGAAGAGAGGGTTTCCCATCTTCAATATGAGAAAACCTAGATTTCCTGAGGTTCAAGAGCTTAAGTTGGGGATGGATGGTCCAGAAGGACTTTTGCTTGATCTGTAGTATGTGATTTCCTCTCATTCTCCTTTTTTTTTTTTTAAAAAAAAAATTCTTTATTGTTGAAAGTATTACATATGTCTCTTCTTCTTCTTTTTAACAGCCAAGAATATGTTCATGTATTACTTGTGCATTAAAAATAAACTTTAAAAAACGTGAATTTTTTTCTTCATGTGGGACATTCTTCTGGACAAATGACTGAGGGTTTTCAAGAGAAGGGAAGTTCATACTACACATTCAGAAAGATAAAGAACGAGAGAGATCATGATCAAATACATTATTGGGTGGACCTTGTTTGGTTCCTTATTTGAAGCCAAATGTAAAAAAAAAAAAAAAAAAGGAATGTTTGAATATGGAGTGGGTACTTGATGATATTAGGAAATTATTGCCAAGTTTGTTAAGTGTAATGATGACATTGTGGTTATATTTTTTTAAAGTCCTTAGCTGTTTTATTTTTCTTAAAATGAGCTGTTAAGTGACTTGCCTAAGGTTACTTAAGAGCACCTTCTCTCAAGCACTCCGGCAGCCCACAACCAGCAGGTCTCAGTATGTCTACAGCTTGGCGTGTTACATGGACTTGTCTGCAGGTTTGTGTGGCATCTCTGCTTGGGTTGTTATGCGTGCTGGTATTGTACCTCTGTGTGTGTCGCAAATTTTGAGTGCCTACTGTATACCAGATTTTCTATAATGGTGTCTTGCGGCATTTTAAACTAAAAACCCTGAGAGGGAGGAATTGCTCTTCCAGTATTGCAGATGCAGTAACTGAGGCAGAGAAAGTAATTTGCCTGTGGCTGTACAGTTGATAAAGGATGGAACTGGAACCCAGGCATTCTTACTCCACTCCCTAATATTCTTGGTAATCGCCTAAGCCATAATGGCCTTATTAGTGTGTGTAAGACCTGTGCCTGAGTATGACTTCATTTAGTGGGTGGAAGTGAAGAATTGTGTGTGTATTTATCACAGCAGGATCCCTCTTCCTGTGATGCCCTATGGTGAGAGATGCAGGGAATTACAGATCAGTGAGGAAGGAAGGTTGATTTGATACGAACTAATCAATGGGAATGATCAGGTTCACTAAAGATTTACATGATCTGAAGAACTTACCTGCTGACAAAATAGATCTAAATTTGAAATTAGAATCTTCCTTCCCATAATGATAAAAAAAACATCCAATGAGCACTAACCAAGCCCTAGTCTCCTTATCTTTAAAGATATATATAAACTATGCATTTATAGCACAGGATTTGGTATAAAGATTAAATAGAGAATTGCCTTTGTTGTCAAAGGAAGAAGCACAATATAATTCATGAAAACCAGACTTAGAGTCAAAGCAGGGTATAATATGGTCTCAAAACCCACTAGCTGGGTGACCTTAGGCAAGCCACCTACCCTCTCTGGGCTTCCCTTTCCTTTTCTGCAATAAGGAGATAATTACACTTAAAGAGATTGTAAACATTAAATGAGATCATGTCTAAGTGCTTGGTATAGTGTTGAGGACATAGTAAGTGTTCAATAAATGTTAGCAGTTATTTGTGCCAGTTATTTTATATACAGTCTCTTTGAGTCCTGTCACTGCCCTACAAGGTATTTGATATTCTAACTCATGCTTTTTTTTGTATTCCATATTCATACTTATTCCATTCACCTGGCTGCTGATTAAATGCTATTATTATCATTATTTTTGTTGTTTGGAGTGGTCACAGGGATTATTATCATTGTTATGTAGTAGCCCATTTCTCCCACCTGGAAAACTCTGCCCCAGCCTTCCAGGCCCTAGATCAAATGCTACCTCCTTTAAGAAAACTTCCCACTTGCATGTGCAGAACTTAGTATGTGCTTCGATCTCAGCACTCACATACCACCATCATCTTTTGTAGACATCAGCCCCCCTGCTTGAAGGTGAGTTCCAGGAAGGCAAAGGTAGTCACGGTTCTCCGGTGCCTCCAGCAGGCCTGACATGTAGGAAAGGCTCAAAAATGTTGGGTACATTTGGGGGAACTTCAGAGCTCCTGGAAATCAGAAAGAGTGTTGGAAATGAGTAAATAAGTGGTAGTATTAATGATCACTCAAGTCACTCACTTGCCACTGCACCACAGGTTGGGTTCTAAGGCCTAAAACATAATGTAGATGATGCTACAATCTCAATATATTTAGAGAATTTTTTTAAGAAAGGAGGGAAGAAACTTTGTCTGGAGATACCATTGCCTTCTTCTTCTCCCTCCTGCCCCACATGTATTGCTAGTGCTCTGGTCCAGGAATGCTATCAGTTAGATATAGTAGTCCTCCCTTATCTGCAGGGGATACGCTCCAAGACCCCCCAGTGGATGCCCGAAACCTTGGATAGTACCAAGCCCTATATATACCATGGCTTTTTCCTATACATATAATACCTCTTCCCTTAAAGTTCGCACTTTATGGCTTCTCTCTGGCATATGCAAATTGCCAGCATTGCCACTCTTGTACTTTGAGGCCATTATTAAGTAAAATAAGAGTTACTTAAACACAAGCACTGCGATACCTCCACAGTCATTCTGAAAATCAGAAGCTACTAAGTGACTAACAGGTAATGTATGAATTGGCTGGACAAAGGGATGATTCATCCCACCTGGGTGGGATGGAGAGACAGCTTGAGATTTCATCATACTACTCAGAAGGGTGCATAATGTAAAACTTGTGAATTATTTATTTCTGGAATTTCCCATTGATACTTTTGGACTGCGGTTGACGATGGTAACTGAAACCAGAGAAAGTGAAACCGCAGATGAGGGGAACTTCTGTATGCTTTTGTAGGGGTTAGCCTGGAGCACTACTTCCTCTATCAGACTAGCCCAAAGATGTTTATTTACCCCAAGTGTGGCTTAACAGGAGCAAAATGAGGAGGAGTGGGAGGACTGTGGTTGCGGGTCTTATTTCCCATGCACTGGTGCATCCACTGCGGCCTGTGCACAGGTATTTCCCTTGGGCACAGCAGGATGTTACTAATAACTAACGCACAATAATAACACTACACCTCACTTGCATTGCATTTAATGGTTTCTCAAATGACGTACTTATGGCCTCATCGATTCAACTCTTCTGCAGGCAGTGAGGTATGTGGGGTAGATGGGGAAACTGAGGCCAAGAGGACTTGCAGGGGGCACGGGTTACTTAGAGGCAGATCCGAGAGGTGAACTGCACAAACCTCAGTAGTACCTGGGCCCCACACATGTAGGTGTACCGCCTGCGCACACACGAGGGGCTGTTGAGGAATGGGCAGAGGCCCTAAAAGAAGGGAGGCCGAACTGTCCGAAGCCTCACACGTAGTCTCTTTCTTCACTCCATGGAGCTCATCTTGGAGGCTGGCGCGGGCAGGTGCGAGGAAGGCCCATCTGTCGCCCTCAGTCCCCAGGAGGCGAGCACCCGGCCATCCACCCACCCTCCGGGCCGGAAGACTGAGGCTCGGGCTGC